AGCGGGGCTGCGGCGGCCCCGCGGCTCCCGTCTCCCGCGGGCAGTGGTTGGAGAAGGTGGGAGTCACGGCCGTCCCGCGAACGGGAGGGGGCCGGTTCCTCCGGGCGGCGGCCGGGTGCGGCGCGGGCCGCGGGCGCGGCGGGGCTGAGCGGCCTGTGCTGCAGGTGGAGGTGCACCCGCCGCGCGTGGAGCAGCTGCTGGGCCTGTGCGGCGGCGCCTTCTCGCGGCAGCAGCTCTGCAACCTGGAGCGCATCGTGCTGCACCGGCTGGGCTTCAGCCTGGGCGCGCCCACGCTCAGCTTCTTCCTGGAGCACTTCACGCACGCGCGCGTGGACGCAGGGCTGGCCGCGGCCCCCCGGGCGCTGCAGACGCAGGCGCTGGCGCGCGCCGTGGCCGAGCTCAGCCTGGCCGACTACGCCTTCAGCCGCTACGCGCCCTCCCTGCTGGCCATCTGCTGCCTGGCGCTGGCCGACCGGCTGCTGGGGCTGCCGCGCCCCGTGGACCTGAGCCTGGGCGGCCACTCCGAGCCCGAGCTGCAGGACTGCCTGGCCCAGCTGCGCCTCCTGGTGGCCATCAACGGCGCGCCCCTGGCCCACGTGCTGCGCCTGCAGGCAGGCGACCAGGGCGGCCTGTCCGCTGAGGGCCCCAGCTGGGAGTGAGGGCGCCCTGGCCCAGGAGTCGGGCGGCAGGAAGCTGAGGGTCGTCATGGTTGTGTGGTTGTGTATTTATTTTACTGAGCCCCCGGGAGAGCGCCTCTCCTCAATAAACAGGCTGTCTGGCCGACTGCTCTGTCCGGTTTGTCTGAACGTCCCTCTGGCACAGGCTGGTCCTGGGGGATGACGAAGTCTGGGCACCAGGAGCAATCGCAGGCCCTCCCCTCAGCTTCATGCCCTGGCGTCTGTCAGAGCCCAGGCCAGCCAGGCTGGAGCGCCCCTTTCCACCAGTTGCCGGCCGGTGCCTGGTTTCCTGGCTGGGGCACACACCTGGGTTGCAGTCCCTTGTGAGGCACCCCTAGCTGTTTCTCTCACATCGATGTTCCTCCCTCCCTCCCGCTCTCAAAAACCAGTAAGAACCCCACCAGGTCCCAGAGGTCCAGGTGGCTGGTTGCGTTACAAGGTGAGTCAGTCACTTGTAGGCAGGGATCCTGTGACCCCCCCTCTCCTGTCCCAGAACGTGGATGGCTCACCCCAGAGGTGTGGAGGGTGTGGGGATACGGCAGCCGGGAACCTGCAGCCGCCCCGCTGCCTAGGGGGAGAGGGTGCCCACCTGGTGCCCACAGTGCCCGGCCGGGAAGCCTTGGGACTGGCAGGCCCGGGCACGGAGGGAGCGCTCCCGCCCCGCACAGGGGCTGTGCAGGGTAGGGATGGCCGCCACAACCCAGCCTGCCACCTGCGAGCACCTGGTCCCAGCCCAGCTCCTCACACCTGCTACACGGGAGCCCAGGGCGCCGGGCATCATGGTAACCATGGCTACCATGGGTGCTTAGGGTCAGGCAGTGTGCTCAGCGTGCCTCATTTCAGCCCAGTCCTAGGAGGACGGACCCTGGCAGCGGAGCAGGTGAGGAGGCGGCGGGTGCTCCGCATCCAGGCCCCTCAGCCACCTGCTCAGCTCCCACCACGGGGCTCTGCGAGGGGCGTGGCCGCACCCCTCTCTAACCCGCTGTTGAGAGCCACCTGAGATGGCTGTGAGGCAGTTAGTGTAAAGCACCAATTAAACAACTGGGGCCCTCGCCGGTATGGATAGAGCGTCAGCCTGCGGGGTCCTGGGTTCGATTCTGGCCAATGGCACATGCCTGGGTTGTGGGCTGGATCCCCAGTAAGGGGCGTACAGGAAGCAACCAATCAATGATTCATCATTGATGTTTCTATCCTCCTTCTCTGAAATCAATAAAGAAATATAGCTTTAAAAAATAAATGGGGACTGAGGTCCGTTGGCTGAGTGACCTTCAGCAAGTCTCATCGCTGGGCGGAGTATCTCCTGTGAAAGGGGGATCAGAGCACTTATCTGCAGGCGGAGGTCTGCATTTAAGGTCCCCGGTGGGGGCCCAGCGCGCAGCACGCCTCCGAGGAGGCCGGCGGCAGCCTGCACTGTGGACGGAGGGGATCACGGGGAGAAACCTGGAGACAAACGGAGATAAAGCAGGTGCAGGAAAACGTTCCCACCCAGAGGCGAACACACTGCTGTTCATGATGCTGTTTATTCAGACTTCCTGGCTGGTTGAAGAAGACATTCTGTTCATTAGAGGAAGTCTAAAGACGTGATCAGTATGCCCAGACAAAATGCAAACACATTCAAAGCAAAGCAGAGTGAGTCTCCTTGCACCTCTCTTCACTAGCCCCTCCCCCAAGCTCTCCCCAGACAGGCCCCTCACTCTGAGCCCTCAGCACCCTCTCCTCCTGAGAAGGCCGTTCCCCAGTATGCAGGGTGGTCTCCTCCTTGGCTGGGGAAGGGGATGGGATCCCGCGCTGACGGGAGAGGCTGGTCTGTGGTGGTAAGAAGCAGGTGGATAAGTTCCTCTCCAAATTCCAAAGTGCCCGCCTCAGCCAGGCGGGGGCGGGTGGCAGTGGGAACAGGCTCTTCACGTGATCTGGGGAGGAGCTGTCTCCCCAGCGTTGCTCCACGCAGCCAAGGTGTGTGGTCACCTCCTCCAGGTCCTGTGCCACAGGTTTCCGTAGAGCCAGACCATCAGTGATCATGGCCATCAGGGATCCGAGGACCACGGGTTGGCGACCGCTGCTCTAGGACAGGGGCCAGCAAACCGCGGCTCAGGAGCCACATGCGGCTCTTCGGCCCCTTGAGATTTTAGCAAAGGCCAGCTGAGGAGTACCCTAATTAAGTTAATAACAATGGGCCTACCTATATATCGTGTTTCCCCCAAAATAAGACATCCTCCGAAAATAAGACCTAGCGCATGGAAAGATAAGACATCCCCTGAAAATAAGATCTAGCACCGAAACCGGTTTGGCTCAGTGGATAGAGCGTCAGCCTGAGGACTAAAAGGTCCCGGGTTCGATTCCGGTCAAGGCCATGTACCTTGGATGCGGGCACATCCCCAGTAGGGGGTGTGCAAGAGGCAGCTGATCGATGATTCTCTCATCGATGTTTCTAACTCTCTATCCCTCTCTCTTCCTCTCTGTAAAAAGTCAATAAAATATATTTAAAAAAATATAAGACACTGTCTTGCCGAAACCGGTTTGGCTCAATGGATAGAGCGTCGGCTTGGGGACTGAGAGGTCCCGGGTTCGATTTCGGTCAAGGGTATGTATTATACCTTGGTTGTGGGCATATCCCCAGTGGTGGGTGTGCAAGAGGCAGCTGATCGATGACTCTCTCATCGATGTTTCTAACTCTCTCTCCCTTCCTCTCTGTACAAAATCAATAAAATATATATATTTTAAAAAGACACTCTTATTTTCAGGGAAACAAGGTAGTTTGTTTAAAAAATGTGGCTCTCAAAAGAAATTTCAATCCTTGTACTGTTGTTACTTGGCTCTGTTGACTAATGAGTTTGCCATCTCTGCTCTAGGATACAGTTCGTGTACAACACCCGTATTTTTCTGCCCCAATGTGGAACTCACTGATGGAAAATCAGCCTGTTTTGGAAAGTCGGTGATGGTCTCCATGCATAGAGATCACCCTGAAACCTAGCTGAGAGCCCCCCTACTTTACAGACTTGGGATTTGGAGTGAAGAGGGGAGTAGGGATGGGCTGGCCAGTGGCTGGCTGCTCAGGAGACTGAGCCTGGACCAAGCCCTGGGAGGCTGAGGTGCAGCCCAAAGGTTCCTAAGGCAACAACATCAATTCATCCAGCCAAGCACCAGTCACGTGACACCGTCACAGCAACATGCCTGAAGTCAGCTTGTTTTCCCTGAACAATTGGGCTGCATGCACCCAGGGGAGCCAGTTCTGATCCCCTGCACTGACCCCAACGGTAGAGCTGGTCCCGTTACTCTCCATCCCGCCCGGGGTCCTGTTTACCTCCATCACCGCTAGCTGTTTGTTTGTTTCATGGCCAGACTCCATGCGGCAAGGGAAGGGCGTGGTCCAACCTTCTGGGTTTCATCCCACTCAACTGCATGCACCTGAGCCCTATCAAGCCCAGGGCACGCAGGCCCGTGGAGCCACGTCCGGCCAGGTTCAAGCTCACAGCCACAGCTGCTGGCTCTCCTGGCGCTGGAGGTCTGTCCGGGCTGGAACCTGTCCAGACGCTGTGGCCACGCCCCACAGCTCACCGTCCAGACCCCCAGGTGTCAGACACACACACAGGTGCCAACAGGAGGCCCCACCCCGGACCTGGGGGTTCTCCTGGGGAGGAGGGGCTGCTGTGATGGGAATTCCCGGGGTTCCCTCTCCCACAGAACCCTGCGGGGGGCCGGGGAGGGAGGTGTGCAGGCTGCCCCCGCGCCGGCTCTGGAGCCGCGTTCAGCTCCCGCGCGGGGGATGGAGGGCCAGGTGGGGCGGGGGATGGGGTGGAGGGGGACCGGGTGGAGGGGGGCGGGGAACGGAGGGGTGGAGGGGGGTGGAGGGCCAGGTGGGGCTGGGGAAGGGCTGGAGGGGGGGATGGAGGGAAAGGGGGGCCGGGCGGGGCGGGAAGAAAAGGGCAGAGAGGCCCCGCGGTTCCTCCCGCCGCCGCGCGGGAACCCGGCCCTGGCGCTCGGTTTGGCGCGGCCCCGAGGCGGCGGCGCCAACACCCGCCAAAGGCCGGGCCGGGAGCCGCCGGCGGCTCAGCGCCTCCTGCGCCCGCGCGTCCGCCGGGCCCGGCGCCTCCTCCGGCGCGAGCGCCCCTCCCTCCCTCCGGTCCTCCCCCCGGTCCTCCCCGCGGTCCTCCCCGTTCCCCATCCTCCTCTCCCCTCTTCCCTCCCCCTTTCTCCCCTCTTCCCTCCCCCCGCACCTCAGTCCCCGGTCCGCCGCCGCGGGCCCGCAGAGCCGCCGGCGGAGCGCGGGGTGCGGGGTGCGGGTGCGGCCGGGCCGGCGGGGACCAGGGCGGAGGCGGCGGCGGGATGCAGGCGCGCGGGGGCGCCGCGGCGGGACGCCGGGCCTTCGGCAGCCTCTGCCCCAACCGGATGCCGGAGCTGCGCGGCCCGGCCCCCGGCAAGCCCGGGCGGCTGGAGGGCAAGGTGGGGGGTCCCGGGCCCGGGCGGCTGGAGGGCAAGGTGGGGGGTCCCGGGCCCCGGCGGCTGGAGGGCAAGGTGGGGGGTCCCGGGCCCGGGCGGCTGGAGGGCAAGGTGGGGGGTCCCGGGCCCCGGCGGCTGGAGGGCAAGGTGGGGGGTCCCGGGCCTCGGCGGCTGGAGGGGAAGGTGTGCGGGCTGGAGGGGGTCCCCGGCGGCTGGAGGGAAGGGGGCCCGCGCTCACCGTCTCTGCCCGCCCAGCTCGTTCCCCCGCGGAGGGTTCGCCCCGGCGGCGGCAGGGACCCGGGGTCCGGGTGCGGGGACCCCCCGGGCGCCTTGCCCGCGGCGCTGCCAGGTGAGCCTCGGGGAGGGGCGCGGCCGGGAGGAGGGGCTCCTGGCCCGGAGCAGGGGCTCACGGCCCGTCCCCGCAGCCTTCGCCACCATCGACCTGCAGGACCTGGCCGACTGCTCGCTGCTCGCGCCGCTCGCGCCCCTCGCGCCGCCCGCCGGGGACCCGGCCGCCCCGCAGGTACCCCCGCCGCGCCCCCGCCCCGCGCCCTCCGCAGGCTCGTCCCACCTCGACTTCCTCCCCCTCCCCCGGGCACGGCTCCTGCTCCAGACCGGGCTCCGGGCCTTCCGGCCTCCCCCCTCCTCCCCTGGAGCTTCCACAGAGGAAGGGGTGACGGCTCCCCAGGGACAGGGACCAGGCGGGGAGGGGAGCGCACTGGCTCCCCTGGCTCGCTGGGCTTCTGACACGCTCCCAGCTCCCGGTTTCCCGGTCCCCTCTGGCCTCCCACTCACCACCCTCACCCCGGCATCTGAGGGGCGGAGCTCTGGTGGAGACCGGAGGGGGTTTGCCTCAGGAGGAAGGGGGTGGGGGATAGAAGACCCGGAGACCCGGCAGGAGGCCCGTGGGCAGCGGGCGCTTCTGAAACGTTTCCTCCCCACAAAGGCTGATGCTTCCCTCTCCGGACAAAGAGGCATTTGCCTGTTGTTTTTTTCCCCCCAAAAAAAATACCGTCTCTGCTTCCTCCCGCGGTGCTGCTCGCCTGGGCTGGCCCTGCCCCTGCCCTGCCCTGCCCCGCGGGGTGGCAGCCTGCTCCTCTGGGACCTGCAGCGCCAGCAGGCCCCCAGGCCTGGCTGCACGCAGGGAGGGTGCAGGCCAGCTTCCTGGCCTCGGGCTGGGACGGCCCGCAGCAGGCCTCACACCGGACTCCCTAGAAGACAGGACGGCCCACAGCTGGAGTAGGTGGTGGGCAGAGCCTCCCAGGCCTCCTGGGTGCTCACAGCTTGGGACAGAGCCCGGGGCCGGGGCCTCGGCGGAGTTGGCCACCGAGAGCAGAGGTTGTCCAGGCAGAAGGTGAGCAGGGCTCGCCCTGCGGAGGCTGGTCCTTTGTTCCTTTAGTTAGACCCAGGTGCTCAGACAAGGAAGGACTCTGGCTCATTTCCTCGGACCCACAGCTACACACGCCCCCATCCAAGGGTTTGCTTTGCCGGTACAGGAGCCTGGCAGGCCCCCCTGGACCTGTGCTTACCTCTGGGACTTCACGTTTGAGGGCGTGTCCTGTGTCCGTCTGTGTGTGCATCTGTGTGTGTGTGTGTCCTGTGTCCATGTCCGTGTCTGTGTGTGTGTGTTTTGCTGTTGTACTTGGAGAAATGCCAGGTTTTTGTCTAATTGGGGAGCTAACACTCAGAATCTGAGATCAGAGCGCACATCTCCGGCCCAAGAGGCCAGCACTCTCCTGGAGAGACAGAGCGGACACAAGGGGCGGACCAGGGAAGGCCCCCTCAGAGTCCGCTGGCCGGTCCAGGCTCCCTCACATCCCCATCCCTCCGTCTGGGGGATGCGGACGGACTGACAGGTGCTGGGGGCGCTGGAGGTCTGCAAGCTCCCCGCCCCGACACGGCTCCCGGCCTGCCTGCCCCGGCGCAGGCTGCCCTGAGAGACGCCGAGGCTGGGGGTGCAGGGGAGGAGGACCCGAGGCGCCGGCCTCCCCCGGGCCCCAAGTCCACTGCGGAGCTGGCGGCGGCACTGGGCTCTCAGCACCTCCCCTGCACCGCGGAGCCGCACTCCCGGGCTCCTCCCGCCTTCCCACGTCCTCGAGGGGTTCTATCGAGTCAGGTGCTCGGGAATGAGGGGGGAGGCGCCTGGCCCCACCGGCCCGCGCCCCGCGCACAGCACAGCCAGGGGCGCGCGGGTCCGATGCCGCAGGTGCGTCGCCTCCGGAGACTCAGTCCGACTTTCAGGAAAAGAACGCGGCTCGCTCCGCGCCACCTCTGGCCCCACGTCCCTCCCCTCCGTGTTGGGCGGGAGGTCTGGCTGCGACCCAGCCTCGGCGGGAAACGTGGCCTCGAGGCACAGCCCGTGGGAGCCCCGCGCTGCCTGCCGGGCGCGGGCAGGAGAGGCCGTTCTCCCCGCGGCCCCCGGGCGGGGCCGGGTGAGTCCGCGCTGCGGTTCCCAGGGCGCAGGCCGCTGATTGGCTGGCAGCTGGCCAATGGGAGCGCGGCTCCAGGAGGGCCGGTGAGTCCCTGCCGGGGTTCCCGGGCGCAGGGAGCGCACAGGCCGCTGATTGGCTGGCGACCGGCCAATGGGCGCGCTGGAGGGGCGGGGCGGCTGCGCGGAGCTCCGAGGCACCCGGCGGGACTCAGAACCCGCGGTGGTGCCCGGCGGCCCTCGCGGCCGCCCCCGCCCCGCCCCGCCCCGCTCCCCACGGCGGTGCTCGCCGCCGGGCCCCGCGCCTCAGGGGGGGCTTCGGCTCTCGGGGGCGGCGAGGGCGGGCGGGCTCCCGCGGAGCCGGGGACGGCGGCGGGGCGGGCCGCGCGCCCCTGACCCCCGCCCGCCTCCCCCAGAGCCATGGCCCGCAGCCGGCGGCGGCCTGGGACCCGCAGGACTTCAGGGCGACGGTGGAGGAGCTCCTCGCAGGCAAGTGACGCCTCGGGCGGTGCGATGAGATGGGTCCCCGTCCCGTCCGGCTTCGTGCCGCACCCTGGTCCGAGGCGCCTGTCCCGGCGGGCGGCAGCGCACACGGGGCGGCCAGGCTCCCGGACGCCGGGGGACCCGGCCTGGCCACGGAGGAGATGCTCGCGGGTCCACAGCTCCGCTTCGGCGTGTGGGCTCTGGGGGGGCCCTCTCCGCGGGGGGACCGGGAGGGGGAGTGACCTGGGCAGGACCCTGGCCCCAGGCCCCGTGAGACCCGCTGGGGAGCAGACGGTGAGCACCCGCCGGGTGCCCGGTGCCAGGCGGGAGGGTGCGGGGCGCGGCGCTTCGCCCGGCAGCTCCGGTCCGGTCCGCTCAGCCCCGCTCTCCCGCAGACTCGGCCCCCTGGCTGTCGCCTCCCTCGGCCGGCGCCGACTTCCCCTTCTCTCCGGGCGACCCGCTGCCCTTCGGGCCCTGCCCCTCGCCGCCGCCGGCCCCGGCCCCGCCGCCGGAGCAGTACTGGAGGGCGGTGGCCGACCAGAGCCGGCGGGCGCTGGGGGACGCGCTGGCGGAGAACAGCCAGGTAGGGGCCCGCAGTCCGGGGGGCGGGCTCCCCAGTCGGGCTGGAGGGACCCAGGCGGCTGCCAGGGCTCCCCCTGCGCTCCCAGCCCCACCGGGTGGGGACAGTCTCGCCCGCTCGGCTCCCCTCGGGCCGCGGCGACCAGGAGGCTCTGGGGGCCGGACTGGCTTCCCTCTCAGCTCCCTGGACCCTGGACGTGACAGGCCTGCCCTTTGGACCGGAACCCCCCCCACCCCCCCGTCCTGCTGGGCAGGGCGGAGGGAGCGCCGGGCCGGGAGCGCATCCTGTTAATAAAGCCCCCGGCACAGCTCAGCTCGGGCCGGTGTGAGGCCCGGGCTCGTTCCTGCTCCCGCGGGGCCATCGGGTCTGGCCTCGCTCACCGGCTCCTCCCGCAGTTGCACGCGGCGCTGACCCGGAAGCAGGAGGAGATCGCGGCGCTGCGGGAGCGCAACGTGCGGCTCCGGGAGCTGGCGGGCCGGACGCGGCGCCTGGCGGCGGCGCTGGACGTAAGCGGCGCGGCGGGCGGCGGGGAGCGGGGCGGGGAGTGGCCGGTGCACCCGCTCCCCGCTCGGGCCCCGTGCCGTGCGCCCCGCGGTCCCAGCGGCCCTCCGTCTCCCGCAGAAGCTGATGGTCACGCAGCCGCCGGAGGGTGAGGCGGCCGGGCCCCGCCCGCCCGGGGCCGCGGCCAAGCGGAGCCTGGAGGAGCTGCCGGGCGCCGCGGGGCCGGACTGCGCGGCGCTGGACGCCGCGGCCCTGGACGCCGCCCTGCGGGACCTGGCCGCGCGCTGCGAGGACCTGCTGCGCGGCCGCGACCCCAAGCGCCCCCGCCTGCAGCCCGCGCCCTCCAGCCCGGCCCGCCCGGGGCCCCTGCGCGGCGCCTTCCGCGGGCTGCGCACCGCCTGCGGCCTGAGCCGCGGGGAGCCGGGGGCGGGCGGCGCCTTCTGCACCCCGATCCGCAGCCACGGCACCATCCGCACCCTGTCCTTCCCCCAGGGCAGCGCCTTCACCATCCGCACGGCTGGCGGGGGCTACAAGTTCCGCTGGGTGCCCAGCTGACCCCGTTTCCCGCCTTCAGGGCCAGAGGGGCTTCGGCCGAGGGGCCGTCCTCTAAGGAGAAGGTGCCCCGGCTTCCCGAGGGAGAGGGGGGCCCTCCCCCCAGGTGAGGTCCTTCCGGCGGGAAGCCCTCGGAGGAGCGCAGGCCAGGCCGGCCCGCCCTGAGCCCGGCCCCAGGCCGGGGACTGGGCTGCCGGGATGAAAGGAGGAGCCCTGCCCCACGCGTCTACAGGGCCCCCGAGCTGCCCGCCACGTGCGGTTGTGACGCCCACCGGGTAACGGTGTGCCATATGGGAAATGTTTATGGTAATTTTAAGCACAGCTTCGTCTGAACAGGAGAGCCGCGGGAAAGCTTTCAGAAGCAGAAGCTGTTGTAAGCACAGCCCACATCAAAGTTCGTATTTCCGGCCAGAAACCAAGCGTGGAGTCTGCAGAAGCAGAACTGTGAACCCCCTGGGGAGAGGGGTGCCCCTCCCCGGACGATTGCTTTTCTGGGACCTTAGACGCACATACAGTGCGGCCTTCCCTGGACCTCTCTGCCTCGGTGTGGCTTCCTTTCCCTCTGTGTGAGATGATGTGTGTAGCCTGTAACCCAGTTCTTAACGTGGGGGTGCTTGTGTGGGGCTCAGCCTGGGGCGTTCCCAGCTCTGTTACCCCCATCCCTGCAGAGGGGCTGCCCGCTGGGCACAGGGCTCCAGTGATGGGCCTGGGCGGGCAGAGCCGGCTCCTCCAGTTCGCCTTGCCGGCTGTCATCTGTATTTAGCCATTCAGAAGAAGAATGTGATAAAAGAGACATGTTTCCTCGAGTTTTGTCTAACAAATCAACTTAAATACACACTGATGGCTCAGATCCTTATCCACTCACTATAAAGTTAACACGTCAGGACTAGAAACAAGAGTCCTTACCTCCTCCTGGAAACACACGCAGCTTGCAACTCCTTGCTATGTTCACACAGCATTAACTTTAAGGACTGGGAAGTTAAAACTTCATATGCATGTTTTCTATTTGCCTTGTGCCAGGATTTGAAAAAAGTCTGTTTCTTGCTGCCACTTAGATTACAGACCTATAATTGTTCTGTTGGCCACTGGCCACTCTCCTGCTTAAGCATCTTCCGTTTCTTGGGGGGCAGCTCTCCTGTGAACTAATGGCACAAACAACCAACTTTGCATTACTTAACAGCTGCTGAGTTTAAAAAATCATCCATTCCACAGGCACTTATTGCATGTTCCTGTGTTTGAAGAATGAATGTCAAACATCCTGCAGACCAGAGGGGAGAAAGGGAAGCTGGGATTTCTGTGCCGCTTAGGAAACTAAGCAATTAGCAGAGACCAAAGACATTGCTTTGCCAGCAGCTGAACTCCGGTATTGCACAAACAGCGTAAAACTCCAAGCCCAACAACAAACAAAGGACCCACAGGTGTTGCTACTTACAGAAACTTCAGCTTTAATTCTTTTGTCTCTGGGCTGGAAGCGAGACATGTTTGTGTTTAAATTTGGAAAGTTTTGCCGAGACCCAGTCTTAGAGTAAACACTCGGAGGTGAGTGGCTTAGCCTGAGGCACGTGAGGTCCTGGAGGCCGGCCACGGCCACGGGGAAGTTGGGGGGAGTGGGGAGCATGAGGGCAGCGGGGCGCCAAGAGCAGGTGGAGGAAGGGCGGCCACGCGTTAAACGTCCTGTTACAAGGACTTGGGGGCAAATGCAAGTGCTGACTGACAGGAGAAGGAGCTTCGTGGGGTCTCCGCATGAAGAAGCACGAGCATCTTTGGGCCACGGGCCCGGCGGGAGGATGGCATTGGTGTCTGCTTGCTGTGTTCACCGGGGCAAGTACAGGGTCCTCGCCTCTCATGTTCACTGTTCTGCGCGGAGTGCGCCAGCCTCCAGTCCTCTGACTTTTCTCACAGGTCCCGGGCGTTCAGCCTCCTGTGGACTCAGCGCTCGGAGCAGCTTGCTTTGGGCGCTGGGACACGTGTCTGTCCCCTCTCTTCGCCTGTCACTCACGTGCCCGGCTTTATACCTGTTTGACTCGCTAATTTCTGCTAAGATGTCAGCACAATATTTAAGAAATAATGTAGACTTTCCCTTAGGTTAGGCCTTTTAGGCTAAAACAAAGATTCTAAAATGTGCTTTAATGGTGAAAACTTTATTACAAAATGAAGCATTTTTTTTTCTTGTTGCAAAGTCAATAACTGCAAACAAAAGGAGTAACAAACACCACATTGCTCTCGCTTTGATGGGAACTTCCAGACATTGGGTGGTATACACACAAATATACACTGAAAAGAGCAGGGATATGTCATCGTGTGCACATGTTCTCCTACCTGGCCGTATTGATGATTCTCTTATGACTCTTATTTCTTAACTATTGTGCTGGCTGCATTTTATTATATGGACGTGGAATGGTTTATTTAACCTACACCTGTGGCTGGGTATTTAAGTCTTCCGGGGTCGTGAACATTTCTCACTTCTTCCCAGAGTGAACGAAACTCTAAGTAAAGGGAAGCCAGGCATTGACTCCAAAACCCAGCCTTTGGGGCCTTTTGGTGGCCGAGTTTTTAGTTCTGTGGTCCAGGATAAACCTGGGCATTGGGAGGCAGGAAACAACGGCCGGAGGAGGAGGGTCGCACTGATCTAATCTGAAGAAGCAGAAGCTTGCAGAGGGCTGTGTCAGATGTACTCACAGAAGAGAACGTCCCACACTGTGTTCCATCACGTCCCTCTCCCAGTGTCAATGCCGGAACTACTTCTGTCCGAGAGCCAGCGGGCAGCAGGGCGGTGGGAGGAGGAAGGACCGCACAAGAGGGGAGGTAGTTATGGCATCTCAAAGGGGGAGAGCAGCATAGAGCCCACAGTCACTGTGCAGTTCCCATAAATGCCTGCCTGGGATCCTCTGGGGGACCTGTGCTGCTGCTCTAAGCCTGGAGGACTGACAGCTCCCCGGGCCTCACTCTAGTAAATCGAGTCCCAGTCCGTGTGTACTTGTCACTGAAGTGTAAACACATTGTGTGGAAATTTTGACCCAGTCGCTCAGTTGAGTAGGAAACAGTGGCTGGCTGCTTCCGTGTGTACACAGGTATGTTTGCTCACTGGGCACGTATGTTTGGCAGTATTTCCTTTAGGTGTGATGACTGGACAGTCCTACATCCCAGGAGAGTGTTCTGGCAATTAAAAAGTGTGTATATATATATATATATATATATATATATATATATCTTATTGATGCAGAGAGGAAGAAAGGAGAGAGAGCAACATCAATGATGAGAATCATTGATTGGCTGCCTCCTGCACGCCCCCTACTGGGGATCAAGCCTGCAACTGGGCATGTGTTCTTGATCTGAATCGAACCCAGGACCTTTCAGTCTGCAGCTGATGGCTCTGAGCCAAACCGACTAGGGCTCTGGTCGTTTTTTGGGTGAAATATCTAGGTGCTAAAGCTGTAAACTCTCTAAGAGACTGAGACTGGCAGCACCTGGCCCACAGCCCGCCCTCAGCTCCGTGCTGGCCTCACTTCCCAGCCCCGTGAGCAGGAAGGCGCTGCAGGCTCAGGCTGTGTGAGCTGTGGCTTCTCACGTTCGATGACCACATGGCCTGTGTCTTGTTAAACCAGGTCTGAGTATGAGGGCTGTTTGGTGTTAACAGGAAACAAACAGAAAATGTCCCTGGTGTGCACCTTCCTTCCTGTTTGTAGCAGGCACAGTAAGGCTGTTACTGAGTCAGGTCTCCAGGTAATAGGCACACGTCATATCTTGTCTCTTTACATGTGATTTCTGGGGGGAAAGCAGAGAAATGAATTTATTGTAACTTCCATAGCAAAATCAAATGAGTTAGTTGTGAGAGCCAAATATTCTTTTTTAAATATATATTTTATTGATTTCAGAGAGGAAAGGAGAGAGAGAGAGAAGCATCAATGATGAGAATCATTAATTGGCTGTCTCCTTCCTGCATGCCCCCTTCCGGGTGTGTTGAGCCCTCATCCCCGGCATATGCCCTTGGCCTGAATTGAATCTGGGACCTTTTAGTCTGAGGGCCGACGCTCTATCCTCTGAACCAAACCGGCTAAGGCCAAATATTCTTTATTGCACAGCTGAAGTTTGTATGAAAGTGCTGTAGGGTATAAAGTGCTCAGCGCAGGGGCTGAACATAGTCAATGTCCAATACAGTTTAGCTATTAGCTTTTTAAAGGAAAACAATATCTTAATAGAAAAACTCGCTCAACAAGTACAATAGGTTTAATAGGCAATACATTTATTCGGCCATAAGTCTAACCCCCAAAGGGAGGAGGAAGAATCGCAACGAAAGGAAATGGCAATGAAGAGGATGGAAGGCGTCTGGGTAACAGACCCATATCCCTTGCAATCCTTTAACCCAGGAAGGTCGTCCCAGGTTCCCTTAAAATGCTGATCAGAGCCGGCCACGTCTCCTTGCTCACAGCGCCACCTGCAGGCGGGGGGAATGTCATCTTACTGCAGCTCCTGCTGGAGGGCGCTGGGCCAAGTCCCCCAAAGTCAGGCAACTTAGTGTAATTGGTCACCACCCCAATGTCTGTTAGTGTAATTGGTCACCACCCCAATGTCTGTTAGTGTAATTGGTTATCACCCCAATGCCTGTTAGTGTAAATGGTTACCACCCCAATGTCTGCTGATTCTTGCCACCCCCTGCATTCCGTGCAGAAACCAACATGTGAGCTTTGAAATTTTGATTAAAAATCAAATTACAAACTGATTAGAAATGAGTGGTTTCTAGTTGAGTTTCCTTGGGAACATCCTACTTAGAGCCTCACATATCTTTTTTATTTTTATTTTGTTTTGTTTTTTAGCCTCACATACAAAGTACCCGTTTTTATTACCCATTGAACAGTCCCTATTGATCATTTGTGCTCCCTTAACCCGTCTCATAAGGAAACCTTCCCTTCTAGGGAGTGAAAAGTGGGATTCAGCCGTCACTTATTCAGGGAGGTGACGGAGGGCGGAGGGGGAGGCCTCCAGAATGGCTAGGAGGAGGGCTC